ATATATTTTTTAAATGAAACTTTGGGAAATTTTTTTTAAAAGAAAAAATAATGGCAATTTTGGGGAAGTTAGAGAGTCAGTTATTAAGGCTATTTTTAGTATAGTTGTGATTTTGAGTTTTTGATTTTTAAAAATATAAAAACCTTAAAATGAAATCAAGTAGTATAAATTAATTAAGTATTGAGTTTTGAGTATTTGTTTTTAAAATTTTATACCTAATAAGTTAACAATTTTGATTTTTAATTTCAGTTTTTAATTGTTAATTTTGGTTGTTTGATTTTTGAAAACCAAAACAGAAAACTCAAAATCATCTCAAAATCATATCAAATACTAAACTAAGCCTATCAATATGTTTGGGTTGAAGGGAGGAGAGAGAAGAAAAAAATTTACTTTATTTTCTTAAAATTTAACTATTTATCTAAATTAAGGAGAAAGAAGAGAATGGGAGGGGAATAGAGGAGGGAATGGAAGGATATTATTCCCGTTTCATTCCCTTCAATTCAAATATAAGATAAGGTTTTTTTTTAATATGATTGTAATTTTTAATTTTTGTTTTTATAAATTTTATAACTACTAAAAGTAAAAATTTTTAAAACAAATCTTAGCAATTAAAAATATTTATTTATTTGGTAACATTAAAATTAATTTTTTTATTTATCTAATATTACAATAATATATTACAAAAACATATAAAAGTAAAGGAATGTCTTTTAGAGTTATAAAATTTATTAAAAAAACTAACAACTTAAAATCACAATTATACTCAGTAGTGTTTAAAATTATAACAAAAAAATATAATATAATCTAATACAATAGAAACTATATTACACTAACCATTAATGGAAAGTGGGCCTCTAATATTAAAAATTCTCTCTCTATGCAGCTGTCTCTACTTACAATCTAATACAATTGAAATTATAAAATATGATTTTAAATCATAATAAAAAATTAATCATTTCTAAATCAATATCTTGTCTTGTACTAATGGGTCATTTGTCTCAAAATTAATCCCCTTAGATGGGCTCCTCCCCCATTTGTAGAGTGTTTGTCCCATAATATTTTTTATATATTACTTAAGTGATATATATATATAAAAGATTTTATGTAATTTTAAATTAATTAATTTTAAAATTATGTATTTTATCTTTGTATTTTTCATACTGTTAATAAAATATATTTTGTGTTAGTATTAACTAAACCCTCCGCCCAAAACCCAAATGTTCAAACGTCAAATCTGACCCAAAAGCTTTACCATAGTCCACAGGCGTGATGTTGGGCTCAGGAGCTCCTACTTGCTCAAATCTCGTGCACGCCGCCCACGCTAACCTTGTCAGGCTCCTCGTACCACTCTCCTATTCAGCTTCTTTTTTATTTCTCTGTTAGAAGAATAAATTTAGTAAAAATATTAAAAAAATCA